AGAGAGAGAGAGATGTCTGTTCTACCACTCGTCCTTCCGAGAGAGAGAGAGAGGTCTGGTCACGGTCGTCCCTCCCCATGGCCTAGGTTCTATTTTATGTAGTTAATTATAACAAAAAGCTTTTTTTGCTGGCTGCCCGATCGCCACTTCTACTTGCTCATTGTGGATGAGGTGAATGGTGGGTGGTTTCTGTTTTATCTTCTGTAAGTAAAACATGAAAACTAATAAAATAAACCTTCAAATTTACAGAGACGCATTTGGATGGTCATGCTTTTGCTCCTCTTTGATCTTTGATTATTGTAAATTTATTTGAAATGCAGATTAGATTCACAGTATCCCCTTCGCAGCATGTTCAAGTTGTTTGCTTGTGCGGTTTGCCAAGTTGTGATCAAACAGGGAGAAGGTATCTCTCTACATGCTGGATCCTCACGCCATGGAAGAACTCGACCTTGGGATGGTCCCTTTCTTTGCAAAAGCTGCCAGATGAAGAAGGATGCCATGGAAGGCAAGAGACCATCTGCAGGTAGTACCCATGCCATCCTATTACAGTACATCTCAATAGTGGTTACTGTACTTTTATCGAGAACAATAACTGGATCTCTTGCAATACACACGAATAAGTACATTTAGCTGGAAAGTTATACAATATTCTAATGAACTTTGGAGAACCATAGTCCATTTGGGTTGTCACTGAGATATGGTGATGGAAATGGTGGGACCCACTCACAATTGGGCTCATGTCTTGTCCTGGCAGGTCCCATTCACTCCATCTGTCCATTTCAGTGATGATCTCCTACAAATGACGATTTTCCATAAACCATTGGTGTACAGTATGCTCTTTCAATATGCAAATGTGTTATTGTGCATGGAAACCTTGCGCTGCGAATATTGTGATCATAAGATGCTACACTTAACGCTTGCTGTGTAACACTTCCAGATGGTGCATCTAGACATAGGTCGGGAAGTGATGATGCCTTGCCTTCGGCAGCCTCATAGTGATATTTGTCGGTCTATCAATGGTTTTGAAGCTGATATTCCAGGCTTTCCATGCTCTGTTGTTTCTACTTCTTCTGTAGAGAGACTAATGTCTATTTAAGCCTCAGTGCAAACCATTGCAGGACTGTTGTCTTAAGCCTTTTGATCAGCTCGAGCATCTCCGGCACCTGTATCATCAACAGTTACAACAACACAGGAATGCATCTCCTCTCTGTAACCAGCAGCTTTTGATCTGGAATTAGAGCTTGAAGCCGCATGAGTTCGTGAGGAAGGAATGTATCAAGGTTTTATTTTTTCTTCTTCTCAAGATTTTGTGGAAGTGTACATGAGCTGGTTGAGTGTCCGAAAATTCCTTCCTCTCATCAAGGTACCCGACGTGTACCAGTGTACTTCATATTATTTATATGAGCAGGTTTTGATGTATTCTGATAGGGACTGAACTTTGGCCGGGAATTTTTTATTGTTTATTTTTTTCGTGAAACACGGTGAATTCACAATCTAGGAGAAAAGTTTGGCTGCAGGTGTACTGATTTGTATTTTGGAATGAAATATTCGACAGAATCAAACCTATTTTTCGCAATCTGAAGCCACTGGAATCGGAAAGGAAATAGACGATTCAATCATAAGCCCATTTGCTCCTAAATGCACAATTCCACGTCTCTTAGGTATTTGTATTTTGGGAAAGGTTTCTATATTTCCCCTACAGTATAGAAGATCTACGCTTCTCCTACCATCCAGCCGTCCAATTTTGATCAAGAGAGCTACTCACTGTTTGATTTTAGATCCGATGTCTCAAAATATTTTTTTTTAGTTTTTTTATGCAAATTCTATGAATATGAAATTTGGTACTTGTCATCTTCTCATTGTGGGGCACCTATAAAAGATATTAAAAATAATTTTTTGATAAAATATAATGACCAAAATACTCTTGAAACTATCAAGGTATTTTAGTCATTTTATTTATTGAAAATATATTTTTTTGTATATTTTTTCGTTAGTGTGAGTTTAATAGAGGATTGAACGTCCAAAATTTGGTGTCAAAATAGCTTATAGAAAAAATAATTAAAAATAAAAGAGTGTAGAGACGTGACATTGTGATTGAGGCAATTTTAGGCCTCCATTCAGAATGGACGGTTGGATAAGGGGAAGTGTATAAGTTTTATGATGTAGGGGAAGCATAAAAAATGAGGGGAACATGGAGTATCAATCGCTGCCCTGCTGTCATTTGATTGGGTTCCAGGGTTCAACTTCAAATGAATGCAAGTTACCTTCCCTAAAAGAAACACAGTCGGGATTGTCTGCAAAGTGACTGGTTATCTTTTATACATAGAGGTACAATCATTTCCACTAATTAAATGTCAAATTGGATGGTTGTATATAGAAGTACAATTATTTCCATTAATTAAATGTCAAATTAAATATCTTGGGGTGAGTTACGAAGCCCGAGAATTTTTTTGAAAATAAAAACTGCACCAAACGATCTTTTTTGAAAATGAAGGCCGCGCCAAACGATTTCACACAAATCCATCTGATCTCATTTTGGATTCCTCATCCGATCACAATGGAATTTTGTAGGATTGTAGGCAGTACGTTGTTTGAAGTTGAATTCCTATGCCATAATAGTAAGATTTAATTCATTTAGACATCGATTCAAACAAGCCGTTAAGTTATGTTAATGAAATAGTCAAAGTTATGGTTCCTTTGGCCCAATGCAGGTTACTTTATTGTTTGGGTGTATTTTGTCCTTCAGATATAATATCACTTACCTAGGAGTGATTTATATGGCTTGTGGATTTTGGTTCTAATGAAAAAAGTAAATATGTTTCAAACCACACTAATTATATATCTTGTTTTATTGTTATCTATCGATTAATTATATATAGGAAATTGTTTCATGTGGGCCGGACCGCATGACTACATATGCGGTCCAAAAAGTGTAAAGCATCCATCTTAAAGATGGATGCAAGTAGGTGTTCCATCTAAAATCAATGGAAACTAATGGTCCAAATGTTTTTTTATTAAAATCATTATTTCTAATTTTTTAAATTTATTTATTTATTTGTATTCGTGATCTCCATGTTAGAGATTCCATGTCGTTAAAAATTAACTCCAAAAATCCATCTCAAAAATAGATTTATTAAGAGGCCCGTATTTCTACATATGCAGGCTTGGCCGCATAGAAAGCGGGTCCATTATATATTCAGCGAAAAAGGAAGCTGTTTTATTTTTGTGACGAGTATCATTTTTTCTTCTAAGTTTGTCTTCTTGATTATTAACTTTTATTTCAAACAAATTCAAAGATAAATAATAATAATTATTTTTAAACACGAAAAAGAGTAATTATCCTCTCTTTCTTTCTCTCTCTCTCTCATCATCATGCAAATCACTATGTCATCAAGCCCCATCCTTATCTTCTACCTCTATATTTCTATGGTATTTAACCATATTAGTTTCAGTCCTCCTTACGTGTGATTCTGTCTCATGAACTCTATCCTAATCCTCTAAGTTTTAAAACTCTATAACCTATGGTAATTAAATATTGAATCACATCATCGATATTCATATGCTCATTTTCATAACATTAAGTATTAACCTTAATTAAAATTAACACACCCATTTTTTTTGGTTGTTAATGGCTCCTATCAATTTTGTTTCACAAGTATATGAAGAAGTTATTAGAGAATCAAACGAGCGTCATTGCAATTTAAGAGTTAAAATATTTTCTTTAAACATAATAAAGAAGTAAATCATGGTGAGTTAAGTATTATACAGTGCAATTTTTTGGTAATTTATAATATCCAAAATATATAATAAATCGTATTATTAATACAATAATACTATAATAGATATTATCGTAATGCTTCAAATAAGTGACATACTAGCAATACCACATAAGTGATATACTAGCAATACCACATAGATGTACTCCAATTTTATTTTGCAAATTCATGACAAAGTTCTGTGGAAATTTTATTAGATTTCGAAAATTGACTACAAAAATTAGTATTTGTTTTGTTGAACTTGTGGATGATCCAGTTTATTGAATTACCTATTTGATCAACGATTCCACATGGATCCAATTTTATATAATTTTTATTTTTAACTTTTGAATATTTTGACCCAAGAGAGGCATCGAATTGAGGATCGTTGATCTAGATTGGCATGTTGGAGGGTCGATTCAATACCCTAAACTTTTAGACCCTAAATCTAACATTTATTTATTGAAACAAAATATGTGGAAGTTGTTATTTTAAGGGAAAATTTCATATAGAACCCTAATTTCTCATATTATTTCATGGTACACCCTCTTTCTGTTTTTCTTTGGAACAGCACAATGAAATCTCTAAAGATTTCACAATATCCCATTATCTCTTATCTCCCTCTTTTATTGACTTTGATTACAAAAATTAACCCCTAAAAATCTTTTTATACCATTTAACCTAAAAACTTTTTTAATGGGTAGAAAGAGAAAAAGATGGTTAAAAAAGTTTTTGGGTTAAAATGATATAAAAATATTTATGGGGACTAATTTTTAAGGTCAAAAGTCAAGATAAAAGATGAGGAGGTGCGGTGAAATCTTTAAAGGTTTCTTTATGCCGCTTGAAAGAAAAACGGAACGAGGGTCTACCATGACATAATATGAGGAATTAAAGTTCTATATTAAAATTTGCTTTATTTTAATGTTCATTTCAAATATAAGAATGAGTTTGTCAGGGTGGATTAACTTGGTTGTGATACTCTGAGAATTTGTTGTAGAATTACCCTGGAATTTTGTGGAATTGCCAAAAAAAATGCTTATTAATCAAGTTTTGAATTGCTGAATATTGACCAAATACTGTCAATTTTTTAACATTAAAATAATAATAATAATATGCAATTTCATCTTGGACGAGTCCAAGAGGTGTGCTTCTTAAGGAGTAGTACGATAACTAGGGCTCCTTAGGTGGCAATGCCATCTTAAGCAAGTAGTTCCTTTCTCATATAATTTCTCATATACATTCTCAATCTAGAAAACACACATTAACATTGTGTAATACTTCCAATACAATGTTCAATAAGCCACAGGCTCAACTGAGTGGAGAACTTACCAAGGATTTTTTTTTAATTATTATTCATTTGAATTGGTTTTTCCTCTTCTTTTATGTTTTCACAAGCACAATAAAATCTCAAATTCCACATAAACCAAACAATAACAGATAATCAGAAATTTGAGCAATCTTAAGCAACCATATCAATCCCAAACTCTCAGAGGAAAAAAAGCAAAAAATAAATCCGTCTTTGAAGATTCAGAAACTGAAATATTCATGGAGTTAAAAAATGAACAGAAATACCTAGGATGCAAGCGATTGAAATAAGCTTCTAATTGTTCTATGAAATCAGGAGCAGAAACTTCTTCATGGCCACTTCCCACAAGCCTGTCAAAGAATTTTATAAAACCATGAAACCATAAAGCCTTATGAAAACCTAGCTTTTGCTTAGTATTTTTGCCCCTCTATAGCTAGGGTTGATTTAGCAGGTTTTCCTCACTTTTTGTAAATTAGGGTCTTGGAATAGGTTCAAAACAAGCGGGTGTCTTTAGGAACTTCATCTTTGGATTGCCCAAAGAGATGGACATGGAATTGATGATTTCAAATCTTACCCTGAAAGTTGCATAGGATTCTAGAATTTTGATTGTGAAGAATCTGAACCTCTCTTGCAGAGGGTTCCAGAGACTTGGTGAGAGCCTAATTGAGTTGCAAAGAGACTGAGGTGCCAAGAAAAGAGGCTGGTTGAGCTTTGGTGAGAGCCTAACGGAGTTGCATAGAGGCAGAGGTGCGAAGAAGAGAGGCGGGCAGCATTAGAAAAAAAGAATTTGGGGTGAAGCGTTTTTATAGCGCGAACGTCCATTACAAACTTCCTTCTTCTTCTTTTTTTAAGTTATATGGTTTTCCATAAAACTTTTTTTACGCGTAAAAGAGGGAATAACTACAGTACAAATAAGTTTTTTAAAAATCTTACTTTTTTTTATCAAATACAAAAGATGAACAGTAAGAAGTAAGTTTCCACTTCTCGTAAGCAACTTCCTGTTATCAAATACGCTCTAAAAGTTATGTTACCATTTGGTGGCACCATTTATTCAGTTCCACTAGCTGCTTCCTAACTTGACTTATAGAGAGAGGTCGTGCAATAATGATGAAATGAACCTACCATGCTAATGAAGTATTACTCGGCCTGTAATGTGAGTCCTAATGCCTACAATAAATAGTGTGCAATACTGAACAGCTGACCCATCAGTCCTAGCTTGTGTAGCCAATGAACATCGAACAAGTGCTTTGAGTACATATTCTTTTGCAAGCTGTTTCTATTTTTTATTTGCCCATTTTCATCGCTTAAAATATTTTTCTAATTTTTTATTTATTATTTGAATGAAATTTTAATTTTTATGATGGAT